ACCTATCGTGAAGCATCATGTTTCCACCAGGATGAAGAATTAAAAGTTGTGAAACTCAGTTCGTGCATCCTCTATCCAATTTGTCTATAGAAAGTACCGTTAGTCTGGTACCACCAGCTTTCGTCTGTACCCAACGTTTAAATTGAAGCATCTTCAAAAGCGAATTCTGTAACTAAATCTATCCACCACTGATCTGTGATAAACTTACCGATATTGAAAATCAATCGGTAATTCCATTTATCTATAGTCAACTATGACTTAACTCAACAAAAGTCAGCAAACTACGACCTTTCCATACATACCATGCACCTCATCGTTATATAAGTATTTGGTCTCACCATCTTGTCTTTGACACACCCTGCTTCTTTAAGACAAGTTAATGACAATCCGACTTCTTTGTCTAATTTCAAAAGAATATGAAATCTTTCCATCCTCTACATAAGTCATCAATTTCCTTGCAACAGCTAATTGTTGCAAATTGTGACTAAAAAAAATATTTCCATATTATTTATGGAAATGAAGAGACTTAGTTTCCTCCTCCATGTGCAACACCGGCAAATTCCTCTAATGACACACCCTCTTGAATAAATTCTTGATTAAGAATTTACTGATGAATATTTATTCAGTCTCCTATCCTCACTCGGTGTCATTCCAATAAGTACTTAATCCTATACTAAATCCTCCTTCTGACTTGGTAACAATTTCTGAAATTTTCAATAAGATGTTCAGCAAATCCAGCACCTCTGATATATCATCATAGCGTTACAGTGATCTTTATTTACCACTACCTCACGCATACCGAAACATTAACAATCACCAATATCATGGCGTTGTAATATGATACGAATCCATACCTAGCGTAAAGTATATCAAACTAATCGTTCTAAATTGTTTGACTCGTAGTGATGGTTTAATTATCCCATCTTAAAACACACCATAATGACACATGTCCAGGTCCAATAGATTGGCTAGATTTATGAGTATCTACCGAATCTTACGACCGTATGCTCACAAATCTAGCGTAAATAGCGCTATTACACCATGTTATTAAAATAATAATTGGTTGATCACACACTTAAGTCCCCAACTAAACCACGTACCAAAACCCGAGTAATTAACAAAAATAAAAATAAAACACATATGATAAACACAATAAAACAAAATACACTCCTACTTAGGACATCGTTCTTTCTAGAAAAGAAAGTCTCATTTGAAATCAACCTTACTAGATTGTTTTAAAATTTCCTTTTATAGTTTCATAAATAATCATCCAATCTCGAAACATATCCTTTAAAACATAGCTTCAAAACACAAATGTTTGCCTAAGCAAATACCAAGGGCTTAACCCTCATCCTTCTTATATGTGGAATGTAAACTGTCTAACTTGGCTTTTTAAAGCGAATTAGAACGTCAAAACATAATACCAATGCCCTCTTGTATGTGATTTAAAAATTATGTATTTCATTTTGATAAGAACACACCCGATCCCCAAACTCCTGAACAATACTTCTTATATACCTTTTTTAGAGATGATAAGAAAGATTTAATTATTTGTAGATTGATCAACCCCAATTTTACTAATAACATTCGCTATATTACTAGCAATTTAGATCACCTCGCGCAATCATCCCTCTTCAAGATTTAGTACCCTCTCTATTGGATACACATAAATCTCCTCCATTAGGATCCTCTTCGGCTCCTACTCCTTGCTTGTCTCCTTTTTGAGATCAACTGAAGTTGTGTTGGTCCCGATATACGGTGACCTATCACGTACACCTAAATCCTTCCTTGGCTTATACTTTTAAAGTAACGCCAAACGAACCTAAACCGTCAATCCTTAACTCTGCCTTCTGGCAACGAAATCGATAATATACTTCTTTACTCCTTTGGGTCTTTATTGCTTTCGCCTTGAACCCATCCTTTTTCTAGTGCCAACCATTCTATAACTATAGAATATAATTGACATCAACTCCTCCTAACAAACCGTAAATAAAGTACAACGAATCCTAATATGGGCTCTAAGTTTTAAGAGACGCAACGCGGAAGTCACATAATGAAAGACACTCCTAAGGACACTTGAACCTGGAGTGCTCTGATACCAACTATGATACCCCCGAATTTCCGAATGCGGGTTGGCCAGGCCCACACCCGAATACCCGAGGATATAAAACAAATTGATAATAAACGAACACAGAGTACAAAAGAATAAAGAAGAATAAATAAAATACTGACAAAAAACTAAAATGTTAATCTAATAATAAACCTCATAATATATGTCCATTAATTAATAAACTCTTCTGATACAACTGATCCTCCAAAATACAACTCGGGAATCCATACAGTGTGGACCCCTAGAAAATCCAAACTAAACAAATGACAGTAATCTAAAACAGGAAACTGAATCATAAAGGAACTCCTGTGTAGCATCGGAAGAATGAAGTAGATGATCTCCGCTCAGCACGAACAACATCTACTCGTGACGAACACCTGAAAAATAATGGTGGGTCAGGCCCACAAACAAGTTCTACTCTACTACAGTCCAAGCAAAGATCCGATACACGTATACATCATAGTCAATCCAACAGTAACTAGTAGTCCGTATATATATATATACACACTAAAGAAACCTCACTAGACTATAGGGTTGTCTCAACCTGAATAGTAGGCAACATGCAAAACGCACATATAGTGGGCATGAGTACCTAGACCTACCAGGGTACACAACTACACTATATCTAGCTACACATCCCTGGCGATATACGCGCCCTAACTATTAATCTTGAGACTCAAGCTCATATCATGGCACCATACTTATACATATAAAATCTAGTAACCATCCTATCCAGTATAAATTAATCCTTCATAAGTCATTCAACTTGTTCAGCTGACATGACTTGAATATAAGTAGGACTTAACATTTTAGTTAATCCATTCCCTTATATAATAAATTAATCCTTTATAAGTCATTCAACTTGTTCAGCTGACCTGACTTAAATATAAGTAGGACTTAACATTTTTGTTAATCCATTCCCTTATATAAAATAGGTAGGACTTAACTGATAAGTTAATCCATCCCTAAAATGCCACCGTCCCATACCGGTGCATTAAACCACACAATCCAACAATTGATGTAACAATTAAGGAAATACATCAAACATTTCATAAATAACTATGATAAATATGATATCAAACTATCACATAATAGGAATAACTTATTATTTCTTTAAACTTCCTATATCATATGTCCTACACAAACTAAATCTTATACATGATGATATTTTATTATACCGTTAAATAAGGATTCTCTATATCCAATTCATCCTACACATTTAATCTCAATTGCTAAAATATTTTAAAAGATTAAATCCATTCGTTTGTTTAAAACATTCAAATAACAAACATCATTATGATTGAGTTTATTTAAATTTATTAAAACCCAAACCTAGTCCCTATTTAATGTTCAGGAATCTTAGGCATGTTTTTACGTTCCATCATTCCACAAATATGAAAAATACATAATTTAAACATGTAAAAATTCACATAAGAAATCAAATCAAAATCATGCATTTTATCAATTCATAACACAAGAACAGATATGAACCAATTTCATAAAACCTATATTCTAACCCAATTAAACATGCATAATTATTTAATTTTATGTGTTTAATAAATCCTGAAATTTCTTAGGCATGTACAGAAACACGAATCAAAGGGAAAGAGATAGAAGAAGAACTTGCCTTAAACTTTCGGATCGAAAATTAAATTTCTTCTTCCTTGATCTTCTCTCTATAGGGTTTTTCTCCTCATTCATTCCTTTTCCTCCTTCCCTCTCTAACACTATCTATCCAGTATATATCACATGAATATTTCTAACCCCATTTTACAACATATAGTTATATATTTATAGGCTAAATAAAATAACCCTAACCCTTTTCCCAATTCAAGTCAACTTAAAAAAATAAAAAATAAAATATTAAAAAGGTAAGTAAAATATGTTACGTATATAATTTATGTATATTTTTATTAAATAAATAAATTATACACATTTCATTATTTATTAATAGATTATCCAATAATACTTAAGTTACCATAACATTATAAAGTAACTTAAAACATAATACATATTAAATCTATATATATATTTATTATTTAAATATAAAACATATACATCAGATAAAATATTATTACTCATGTTACTATAAAAGTAATTAATAAATTAATTTTCCTTTTATATATATTAAAAAGGTAAGTAAAATATGTTACGTATATAATTTATGTATATTTTTATTAAATAAATAAAATATACACATATGTATATCTTTATTAAATAAATAAATTATACACATTCCATTATTTATTAATGGATTATCCAACAATACTTAAGTTACCATAATATTATAAAGTAACTTAAAACATAATACGTATCAAATTTATGTATATTTTTATTATTTAAATATAAAACATATATATCAGATTAAATATTACTATCCAAGTTACCATAAAAGTAATTAATATATTACTTTCCCTTTTGTATATGTATATAATATATATCTATATATATACATGCACAATTATTCATGGGCAATAATCCATATACATTCAACCTTCTATCCAAGTAATCCATTGAACCCAATTAGTTAGCCCATCCAAGTAATCCATGGAACCCAATTAGTTAGCCCATTACTACTAACCATACTCATAAAAGAAAAAATAAAATAAAATAATAAAAGAAAAGAAAACATTTAATTTATAATTAATCAAAACACCATTTAAGCACATAATCTAATTAAACAATTAATATATAATTAAATAATCAAATAATAACTAATTCAATTAAACACATAAATAATTAATCAAATAATTAATTAAATAATTAAAAATACAATTAAAATAAATAAATGAGACAATAGCAGTGTGGCCGGACGGTCTGCGTCGCAGTCGGCGGTGCAAAGGTCGTAGGATCAACGAGAAGATCAGAAGTCCACTGCTTCTGGTTCTAGGCTTCCCAAAGGCACAACCACAAAGAACCACCGCACAGGTGGCGGTGGTGGCTATTTCGGAAATAAGCCCAAACAACCAGGGCTTTTCTCGACATCAAACAGCAAGAAACAGAGAAAGAGAAGAAAAGAAGAGCCTGACGATGATAAGGTGATTCCAACGAAGAAGAAGACCAAGCGTAGTCAGAAAATCGTGGACGAGGAAGATAAGGTAAACATTAAAGGAAAAGAGGAACGAAAAATAAAAAAAACCATCGTCTGATAACAAGAAGAAAACGAGAATGGCCAATTTGGAAAAAAGAGGCAAAAAGAGAGTCAAAATTGAGTCATTGTCACTGGATGGGAAAAATAAGGTCGTGGGGCTCGGAGAGAAGGCTATCGACTCGAGGAGAAAGCATTTTGTTACCCATGTAAGCATTTTCCTGTTCTATTTTTCTCCCAATTTTTTTTTTAAAAAATTATAACCAAAGCTGACACAATCTTCTTAACTATATATATATATATATTTTACAGCCGAGTGGAGATGACTGTAATATGTGCCATCAATGCCAAAGGAGTGATAAGGAGAAAGTGGTGCGGTGCCGCAAGGGCTGTCGCAAACGTTTTTGTGTTCCATGCATACAGAGATGGTAACACTTGAAAGAAAAACATATCTAAATTATACATGTCAAAGGAGATGTTACTTTTCTCCCTGAATAATTTGTTCTATTCCCATGATGAAATGACTTTAAGATTCATCCAATCTACTAATTTTTTATAAACCTTATTTTGATATAATTGAGGTTCCTAAATGATACATTGTTGTTAAATGAGTACTATGGCTGTTGCCAAGAATTTTTATAGCATATGAGTTCATTTATTGATTGCTAATTTCTATATATGTTTATGTATTTATATATTTTTTTCCTAGTTGATATTTATGTATATTTAGGTGGCTTTCAGGCTGCATCTTTTTTTTTTTCCCCCTCCTCTCTCGTTGATAAAACAATGAGGTGTGATCGGTTGATGTAGTGATTGTTATTCTTCCTAGACTATCATATGTTTTATTTTTATTTTTTTTAGACTTTATTGATTTATTGCTTAAGTGATTCACAGGATGTGGACGTCAAGGAACATTTTTCTAATTGTACGTGTTTAACTTCGTTCATTTCTGATTTTTTCTTTTGTCTTTTTTTTAAAGCCATGTAAACTCTATTTCTCACAATAAATGTGTACCAAACACTTAGTGCTCATTAACCAATGCATTAGCACAATTTTCCCCTCTTTTGATTGTAAAATTTAGGTACCCGAGACTGTCAGAGGAAGCAATAGCAGAGACTTGCCCATACTGTGGTGGGAACTGCAACTGCAAAGCTTGTTTACGTAGAAATGATATAATCAAGGTTGGTAATGGCAGCTATGTTATTTAGTTCTTTGCACCTCTGCATTAAGTACATTATGTTATAGATTGTGACATCTGGTGCATTTCTCATAATTTAACGCAGGATAACAAATATTCAGGGTCGCCAGAAAGTAAGGATGAAAAGATTCAGCACTTGAAATATCTTGTACATGCACTCTATCCGTTCCTGGAGCAATTCGATCATGACCAAACGAGGGAAAAGAAGATTGAGGCTGAGATTCGAGGTATGAACTGCATATTGTTGCTAGTTAGCATTCAGGATAAGAAAGTAACATTAAGTCAGAGATAAAGATGATATGTGATGAATCAAGGCTTGGAAGGCTGGAGAAGGTTATTAAAGCACATTTTTTTTACATGTTTACACAAATATAATAACTTTGCAGAATTGAACAGGTAGCCCACCATCTATGGCATTAAGTTGACACTGCTTTGGAGCCATACATGCGGTGGCTTATGCAACTAAAACAGTTTATAATGGAATTTTTACAGGGTTACCACAATCAGAGGTAGAGATACAGCAGGCAGGTTGTTATAACGACGAACGTGTGTACTGGTATGGTACTTTTCTCGAATGATTTACAATTTCTTTTGTTTTGAAATCTGGGTTGTGACAAAGATTTGATGATACCACTTGTTCTATTGTAGCAACAATTGCAGAACCTCTATAGTTGATTTTCATAGAAGCTGTCCAAATTGTTCCTATGATCTCTGCCTGACTTGTTGCTGGGAAATTCGGAACGGTTGCTTGCGAGGAGGTGTCATACCTTGCCCACCAAAGGAAATGGGTGGTTGTGGTCATGATCGTTTGGATCTCAAGTGTATGTTTCCAGAAAGCTGGGTCTCAGAGTTGAAGAAGAAAGTAGAAAAAATAGTTAAAACCTATGAACTTGAAGATTTGAACAAAATTTCTACGCAACAATGCTCATGTTTTAAATCAAATGGCGAGATCGACATTGGCAATGGTAAACTGCGGAAATCTGCTTCTAGAAAAGATTCTGAAGACAACTATCTGTACTGTCCTTCAGCAAGTGATATCCAGCAGGGGGATCTGGAGCACTTCCAGAGACATTGGATCAGGGGAGAGACAGTCATTGTTAGCAATGTTCATGAAGTTACATCTGGACTGAGTTGGGAACCAATGGTTATGTGGCGCGCATTCCGTGAGATTAAATATACGAAGGGTTCCTCAGATTTGGCAGTGAAGGCAACAGATTGCCTTGATTGGTGTGAGGTGAGTACTTCCAAGATATCACTTTGTATTGTTCATTTTGGTATTGTTATGGTGTTATTGTGACCATTACTCTAGATGTCTCTGTTCATTATTTCTTTTTTACTTATGATGTAATGATTTCAACTATGATGCAAGTTACTGAAGTCTGAACCAATTATTAGACTCTAAGACACCTGGTTTATCCATGTCTGGAGCTGAGTGTGTCTCTGCTGGAAGGGCATGTGAGCCCCTGTAAGATCTTTTCAAGCTGATCAATTGGGTAGAATACTGAACCACAAAATTTATAGAAGATTCAATTTCCCATAAAATTGAGTGAAATCAGTCATTTTGCAAAGTGAAGTTGAGATACTACAAGAATAAAACCCTTCTACGAGCATTTCACTTCCAATTAAATGAGTTTTTAGGTTAAGTCCAGCCTTCTGCTATTGTCTAATTGTAATCTGCAGCTTTTAGTGTTGAAGAAAAAGTCATGGAAAACGGAAGATTATATAGTTTCATGTAATCCTTGATTTCTTCAGATGCTAGAAAGATTTTACTTAAGTTCAAAATTTGACTATAGAAATTTACTAAATTTTATTTTTTTTAGAAGTTCATGCGATAAAATTGAGGCAGAAACCAACACATAAATTTGATACTTGGGAAATACATGATAAACCTGATCCAGATTTATGGAATTTCGTACATTATTCCACCAACGTGTCTAGAGCCTGCAGGGAAATTTTTACAATTAAAGAACTTCTCTTTCATTAGTTATAGGCATTTAAAATAAAATAGTTCACAACGTTTCACTTCCTAATATACTATTAGCTATGGAACTTTTACACCTAATTTTTATAACCCTTCGTACTTAAATTCCAAAAATTATAACAAGTCGAAATTCAGATTACACATGACAGAGTATACCAAATTCCCCCGAAACTTGGGCATTTAAATCAAGCAACCACATACATCAGAGTCAAGGTGTTTCCATTCTTCCTTAAATCTTTTTCCTGAGATGAATTTGGAGATGAATTTGCTCAGTAACACCATTCATAAATCTATCGCATTCTAATATGCATGAAAGACAAAACAGGCGAATCAAGGCTAATGAGTAAGATGCCCTCCATTTCTATGTTATTAGTAAAACGCTAACGAGTCCCTGCCTGCTTATTTAGAAGTTCATTCCCTTGCGACCTTCGGACTGACTCCTCGGTCTTCAACAGCCGAAATGCACAGGTATTCATTAACAACGGGCATCACTTTCTTTTTTTTTTTTATTTTTAACTTTCAGTGTCCAACCTCTTTTCTTCAAGAAACAGTTCTTTTCTAATAAGAAGAGGCATTAACAAAATAGCCTGATCGGTTTTCCAAGGAGGTCACCACTTATAGTAATATGCGTCATAAATTTAAACTAAAAACTGTACCTTAAAGGAATATCTGACCCTCCTTATCATATAAGCCTTTGTAACCCTTACTCAGGCATAAAGCATAAATGTTTTGTAGGACTCACTTGAGGGAAATTTATCAATCACATCACGAAACCAAATATAAGTCAGAATTTAACATAAAATAAGATACATGTTTGAATAATTTAAAGGACAATTATTCATAATAAACAAACCATAAGAAAATCCTAATTTAGATTCAGGAATGGTAAAATTTTCTACCTTTTGACGTTGCCTCGCGAAGACTTAATATTATTTTTCCCCCCTTATTCTTTTTCTCTTTCTTTTCCTTTTATAGTAAAATAAGATACATGTTTGAACAGTCTAGTGTGAATAGATAGTCTTGGAAACTTTTATTTTTCACTAAATTGTGAGTGCATTAAATGTTGTCTTGTTTTCTGAAATAATGCTTTTTCTCTTGGCCATACTCTATAATGTCATTCGGCTTGGTTGTGAATTTATTTTCACTTGGTATTTTTGTCTTCTTGATTTAGCAAGCACAATGAAAAATGATTATCATGATTATGACTGGTGACCTTACTCCTTAATTAGTTCAAATTTACACCATCCAAGTTGATTTTAAAACTATATCAGGCAGGTTTTGAGCAAAATTTTCAGGCTCGGATGAGTGAATCTTGGCAGTTTTGGTTGAGTGCGCTCATTCTTTCGAGGAATTATTGAAGTTTAAACTGAAATCTGAATCAAAGCTTAGTTAAGGACCCACAAACTGCAAAGGCTTACTTGTAATTAAACTCATATTTCACCGTTCCACAGCTGCAGTTATTGCGTGTTTACATATTACTTGTATAAATGTAAACATGCATGCGTGATGAATGTGTATTATGGACATAGTTATATTGACACTGTCTCAGTATGATAGGAATGTGGGAGAGAATATAAGTAACAAATGAAAATGTTTTGGATAATAACTGTTTTAAATAAGTGGTTTCATTAGGTCCCTTTTGGGGATAAAATTGATTGTAAAACTGGAATGCTACCTTGAAGAAATAAGATGCATGACTTGTCTTTATTGTCTAAATGGCCTATGGTCATCTGCATGCTGCAATCCATTATGTAACTTTGATTTTAAATAAATATGCATATTAATGACTTTCTGTTTGCATGAAAGCATATATGCATAAAATTTGACATTCATTCCAAATGTTTTGGCAAAACAAAAGTGAAAAGGGTTTGATGTGGTTTACCTAATACTCTAGGCAGTCAGGATAAGGGCTTGATCTACTTTATTGAGATTGGTTTATGTAATTATGGATAATAACTGATCTGTTGTAGGTTTAGAAGTCATAGTGCTTGCATCATATAATTTGGTTGCATTAATTTTCCCTCTCTTTTCTATTTCTTCAATATTTGTTTTTAGGTATGATGGGTAATATCATAACTCGCCCACTTCCATTTATTGTTTCATATTTTATTTGTCCTAGCTGATTGATCTTACACTAATGTTTTCTTATTTTGTCTTGTGCTGTGCAGGTTGAGATAAATATTCACCAATTTTTTGCAGGGTACTCCGAAGGTAGATCACACAGAAACTCTTGGCCTGAGATGCTCAAACTGAAAGATTGGCCGCCATCTAACTTATTTGAGGAGCGCTTACCACGCCATGGTGCAGAATTTGTCAGTGCCTTGCCATATTTGGAATACACACATCCCCGTTCTGGTCTACTTAATGTTGCCTCAAAGTTGCCTACTGATTCACTAAAGCCAGACCTTGGTCCTAAAACATATATAGCATATGGATTTTCTGAAGAGCTAGGACATGGAGATTCTGTGACAAAGCTTCACTGTGACATGTCAGATGCGGTATGATTTGTTTAATTGACTTCAAGACAGCTTACTGCCTTTTCATGGGAAAATAAAACCTGTTGGTTGGTCAAGAATTTAATTCCCAAGCCTGAACAATTTTTACTATGTGATGTCAAGGGACTGAGATCTTATAAAGTTACATACAAGTAGATTCGATGGTATAGGCTAGGCCATATTCTCATCACTTTTATGTTCTTCCATAAGCAAAGGACACATTTCAATGAAACAGAAGAAGTAATTTCTTTTGGTGAAAAACAGGAATAGTATTTAAGAAGTTCCATGCATTGAAAAGTTGTGAAATTCCTGAAAACTAACATGGAATGAAGTAACTAAAAATGATTGTAAAACATTAAATATTAGAGGAGACATGGTGTATAATAATTAATAGAATAGAATGGAGAAGCGAATCATGGTCCGTGCCTTTATGTTTACATGTATCAGTATACTGGTTTTAATAATGTGTTAAATATCATCCTTTTTCATTAGTTGTCGTTATACTTTCCAGGTGAATGTGTTGATGCACACTGCAGAAGTGACCTATGCACCTCAGCAGCTTTCAAAGATTAAAAAATTGCAAAAAAAACATGCTGCCCAAGACCAAGAAGAACTTTTTGGTATAGTTCATATAGATAATCAAGAGGCTGAGAATCATGTCCCAGAATCCAATGGGAAGTTCAAATCTAAGCGAGCTAACCCTAGTTCATGTGGTGAAGATTATTGTGCCGAGGTTGTTGAAACTAAAGAAGACAAGGGGAAAGATGCTGACATTTTGGGTAGAAATGGAAATAATGAAATGCAAGACATCGTGTTTGATGAAACAGATCAAGTTTCTAGTTTGCCTTCAGAAAAGAAGACAAAGAACAGGCAGGGGAGAGGAGTTGGGTGAGGCAGTAAGAGGAACAGAGGATATATGCATAATAGATTGGATGTTGACTCTGAAGATTTGTTGACAGAGACTGGTAATGGTATTGAATCTCAGAATGAAGAGGGTACTAGAAATGATGAAAATAATAGGAGAGTAGGACAGACTGATACTAATCTCTCCGATCGTCATTGTTTGACAACTGATGTCCACCAGCAAGGACAGTTTTCTGGCGGTCCAAATGCAGTTTCTGAAAACAGATTGAATGGGTTGGAGACAGCGGAGGGAGGTGCTGTTTGGGACATTTTCCGTCGACCAGATGTTCCCAAGCTGCAGGAATATCTTAGAAAGCACCACAGGGAATTTAGGCACATCTGTTGTTGTCCAGTAGAGCAGGTAACGATAATTCCATCATGAAGCATATGCATTGGATAATATTTTTATTGCAATGTAAAGTAACAATAGGTTTTGTATTATGGACGTTATTAACTGCCATCTGGTGGAGATATATGCAGAGAAATATGTATTTGCTTGTTCAGTGATTCTCCTATTGCAGAAAAAATAGTTGCATCTGCATGTAGGCACACCTTACTTGTTATTATGATGTATTTCTTTTTTCTTATTATGATGTATTTCTTTTTTCTTGATAATGTATAATATACTGTCAATTAGATTATAAGTCCTCTAAACAAGCAGGCTCTGTTCAGCTTGTGAACATGTTGGTGTGACGGCAGCTATGTAGTTTTATACAAGTTCAATGGCTATTTGTTATCTGAGAAACATTTTTGGTGTTTGATACAAGTAAATTTGTTTTGCAGCTGACATCATGTTTGTCATATTTATCAACTTTGATTTTGACATTCTATTTTTTAAATTAAAATACTTGAATTTGGCAACAAGAAAATTACGCTCATAACAAAATTACCTTTTTTTATAGCTTTGAGTTGCTCACCGAGCCGAGATTTGAGTCCACAGTGTAGCATTAACTTACATGCCAAGCTTGAACAGACTTATACTAGCTCAGCTTGGCTTCTTTACTGTCCAACTTACTCAGACCATGTTGTGTTACAACTTACAAGAAGAAAACTTAAGCATAACTTCAATATATATATATATATATATATATATATATATATATATAATTAATTAATTAGATGAAATTAGTCTTTGTAAACTTAGTTTTCGCTTTTCCTTTTGCCTTAAATTGGTCATATGACTCATGTTTATTATTTCCACAAGGTTAAATTCCCACTGTCTGCAACATCCCATTTTAAAAAGTTTACTTGATAACAGTTGAGGGTGCATCATATATGCTTCCTGCCTTTCCTTCTGTTGTTTTAGATATCCTTATCACATCTTTGTTACATCTTGTCTAAGTTGTTTTCTTGTAATTGGCCCTGGGGATGCCTCATCTGTAGCCTTTTTTGTTTCTTCTTCAGTATAAGGGACTTATTTCTTCAAAAAGTATGCATTTTGTATTTCCTCTGTAATTGTAAACTTCTGTTTTATACAATCCCCACTGTAAAGTGTTCTAGTGGTGGATTGTTTTATTTCATAGTCATTAATCTGTTATCAGTTTGAGTAGTTGGATTCTAATTTTAATCATTGTAGTTCTATCTTTCAATGAAATGGTGATAGTTTATAAAAGTTTTGCATCATAATTTATATTTATCTAATTTATAGGTGGTTGACCCTATTCATGATCAGACTTTCTACATCGATTTGCATCATAAAAGGATGCTCAAAGAGGAATTCAGTTAGTTGTTGTTTATCAAAACTTGGTTGGCCTTTGTGCTTTGTTTCTTTTCACTATTATTTGAGCAATAATTCACTTGAATGCTTAATGCAGGAGTTGAACCTTGGACATTTGTGCAAGAACTTGGAGAGGCTGTCTTTATACCTGCAGGATGCCCCCATCAAGTTAGAAATCTTAAGGTAGGCCAGTCATCGATTTTTTTTTGTTCATGCATTAGTCCGTCCATGAAACCTTTGTTTAGGATTCGGTGACTATATTACAATCTGCCATCTTTATATGACTAGTGAGAACATTTATTATCCTATAAGTATTGGCCTTTTCTTGAGCGCATTTATACATTTTGACCACAAGTGGCTCTTTCAAGCATGTAAATATGCCATCAAGGTGACTTTTTTAAACATTTATTCAGTTTAAAGGAGTCTTTCCAGAACACAAAACTTTTAGAACCTTCTCAGTTTAATGCTCCCTGGCTTGTTTCATGATTTCCTAAATGAGAGCATTTAGATGCCTCTCCATTCTGAGTCTTCTGACAAAGATCCCTATATACCCCGTAGCTGTATCAGCAAGAACGAAGCATTTAATGAGTTGAATATGTTTTAGTTGAATCAATTGATAAAGAAAAATTCTGCAAAGATCGCAATAATGTTTGCTTTTATAATCACACTATATATAAAACTAGAATCTTTTGTGCTTTCTTAGGCATGGATTTTCATGCCTGTGTTTCTGTTGCTTCTTGTCGTCATTATTCTTCAAAGTGTTTGCCTTTACTTGAATGCTATTTCTTAAATTCCTCTAACATTTAGCATATGAGATACTTGTTGCCACAGCAACTGCATGGTTTTCTCCACAAATTTTGTGCCTAGAAAAGAGTTGTATGTCGTTTATTTCAAAAAATATACTTAGAAGAGCAAATGTATTATTCAATTTTCTTACAAAACCTAGAAGCAATCAATTATCATTGTGTTCAACAGTTTACTTACAAATTGAAACCCAACCTTACGTAACTATATGTGGTAAATATGTTTGAAGTCATGAGCATGCATAGTCAAGTTCTCCTGTCCTGATGCTTATATGTCAATTCTTACTGGCACATGAATCTTTATCTCTAAATACATATTTACTCTTGATAAGTAGGTATCTAGTCATTGACTGTCAAAAGGTTTAATAATGGGGATAGTATTTTTTTAAAACTACTTTTTTTTTTCATTGAAAAATAAGAAATATGAGAATCTTTGAGGGTGTGGAGTTGGCCATTGTGCACTAGCACTCTGCAACTTTCACTAGAACTTTCTTTCACCAGAACTTTTTATTGAACCTGGCTGTCCATTTGATATTACCCCTATAGTATTCAATTGTTAATTTTACATGCAGGCTATGCAGCAAAGGAATTGTTGTAAATATGTGATGTAGGAAAAGAAAATCAATCCATTTTATGAACTGAAAACTGTTTAAATCAGGAAGGAACAAGGAAAAGTATACATGCATGCAGGGTTACATACACAAGCTTTTTATATATTCTGTAGCCTACCAGACACCAGTTGATTTATGTTAATTTTGCTGGGCTTTCTTGAACTTGGTTTCTAATAGAAGGGAGAGGATTTGTGTTAGGAAATTGGACAAGTTTTTCCTTGTTTCTTGTGTATTTTCTTTGACATTTAAAGATTTTCTTGGGAAATGAATATGTAAATTTGATGATCTAATTAAACAAAACCGAAGAACATTTCATAGTTAGATTTCATTTTGGGGAAATTTTGGCAATGTGTGCTGGAACTGTTCTCTATGAGTTACATCTATTCTTCTTCTTTTTCCCCCTTTTCCTCTCTCTTGGGAGGGGGATGAGAGGTAGGTTATTTTCATTTTTTATTTTGTCATTAAAACTTTCTTCTTTATGTCCTCTGCAGTCATGTATTAAGGTTGCTCTTGACTTTGTTTCACCTGAAAACATCGGTGAGTGCATTCGTTTGACTGAGGAATTTCGTATTCTTCCTGAGAATCATAGAGCCAAGGAAGACAAACTAGAGGTACATTGTCTTGTTTCCTGACTAAAATTATACTTGCTTAAAGGTTTTATCTTTCTACTACCTTTCTTTTTCCTCCTTGGGGTGGATGGGACAACGTGACACATCTAGAGGTTTGGTGGATCTTGATTGTAATTTTTTTCCCCATTACATTATATAGAGAATCCTTAAGACTGGCCACATCTGGCCAGTGAGTTGGTTGTGAAGTCGTGGGAACATTTATGTTTCCTCAACTAAGGTTCTGCTCGAATTTGACATATAAATATTGACATTCTTTTTAATTTTTAAGTATAACAAGCAAGCAAAATTTGAGAAGCATTTGGCTAACAGGTGAATTTTGCTGGAAGGGATCTGGATAAGGTTCCGGCCAATGGGAAACAAATTTGCATGGATCAGTGATCTGCAAACATATTTTAATAGTTGTAGTTTCTAAATTTGTGAAATCCTATTGTGACACTGAGAATTACTTATAGCTTTTAAGTTAAGTGCTTCACCTTGTTCCCGACCATCATCAACTAACACAGGCTGTCTCCATAAATTATGCTTTACCTTGCTCATCTGCTTGCCTAAATCATTCATCAAACTTCCCAACCTTAAAATCCTTAGTGCGCCTCTCAAGATACCTGAGTTACAGGCTTCTCAGCTGCTGTTTGCTACCTCTTTCCATATATTGTAGCATATAGGATTAACCTTCTATGTCCCAATTCTACAGTAGCTACTTTCTTGCATTGCTGCATTGAAATTTTATGCTTGCATAAAGCAGGTGCTGCAATGGCAAATTTGCATTTTAATTTGATTAAAAGATTCTTTCTAAACGAGGACATTGCAATTTGTAATAGATGGTCGTTAGATTAGGTCAATACGGTCTATTAACTTGTTTGCTGGGGTAAGCTTTGAACCAAATCCTCTGTTTGTTGCCTATCCAACCAAGAATGAACTTTGTGCAGCTTTTGGAGCAATGTGCTTAATTGTCTTGTCTACAGGTCAAAGGCCATTGTAACTTTTAAATGCTGGCCATTTCACTTCTTGAATAGCTTTTGGCATATGCATTGTGATAATCTCATACCTGCTCTGTATTTTTGCTTAGTGCAGGTAAAAAAGATGTCTCTCCATGCATTAATTAATGCTGTGGACGATTTGGAGAAGCTTTCACGGTGAGTGTAAGCTTACTTGATTTCTTTCTTGGTGCATTTCCTAATTTCAATTTCCTTTTCCCTTGTGTTTTGCTTGCTCTGCCATTTCCCCAACTTTCATAGCCTTCAACATAACTCTATGCAGTATAAATCCAAGTTTGTTGTTTGAATTTCAATATCATAAATAAGAAACTTGTAATAAGTATATTGATGAGAAATAATTTTTTACCGTTTATATCAATTTTGTTTGTTATTATAGCCCTCCCTATTAGTATCCTATCTTCTAGAAATTTGTTTATTTAATATTTCCATGTCATTTATCCGTCTCACATATCCTTGTCATAGATATAGAAAAGACTAAATTTACATTAAAATGGCTATGTGATAGATAAAACTTAAATCAATTTATCATTGGATGAGATGTAATTGTTAGAGCAACACGAGCTACTTTGCTTTTTTCTTTTTCTGCTACAGAGTTTTGTATTTCTTCTTTTAGTTTGCATAAGGTGTAACAAATGCACATTCCACTTAATCATGGAACCAATATGTTTCGACACAAGTACAACATTAATATCCATACTCTCACAAGTACAACATTACATGGAAATGTTAATACCACAACAGTCTTGAGAAAACAATTTGTTACCTGCTAATTTACCAATTGAGAGGGTCCTATAATTTCCACCGGTAACAGGCTTGAGAAATTTTTGCACGCTCATAAGGATAGTTGTACTAACTAATATTTTCAAGGGAGCCCAACTCTCTTTTGGCCCTAACCAGCTATACTTTTCCGTCCTTGTTTAGGAAGAGCCTCTTTAACTTGTTGCTCATTTGCTTGGGGTTGGGCTGTGTCACTAACAGGTCTATGCTGTGGGGTCATAATTCTAGTGTAGCCCAGATACATGATCCTGGTACACTTGAAGTGTTAAAATTTAGGCATAGTGGCAATTGAGAGAAAAAACCCAAGACATGGTCATGAACTTGCAACCCTGTCAACTTGTAGGCTATCAATGAGTCAGACCAATGATTTTCATCTGTACCAATGGCGATAAAAGTGATTTGGTAACATTGGCGTACTCAATTTGAAAGCCTAGCTATCATCATATACAAGTGAAAATTACAAATATGGAAAGAGAATAAAAATCAAATCCCTAAACAAAAGCCTAAACATAAGCCTATAATGAAGACTCAATAAATCTGCCATAATCATCAAGTCAATCTATAGATATGATTTCCTACACTTCCCCTCAAGCTGGAGCAAATATGTTGACTAAGCCCAGCTTGACTATGGAAGACTGAAGAAGAAAAGGCCCAATAGGCTTTGTGAACACATCTGCAGTCTGTTCTGAAGAGGGAACAAAAATAGGATTAATGATACCTGATCGAACTTTCTCTCGAATGAAGTGAATGTCTACCTCAATATGTTTCGACCTTTTATGTAACACATAATTAGAAGCAAACATAATGGCTGATTTATTGTCACAAAACAACCTTGAAGAACCTTTCTCTACAAGACCCAACTCTCCAAAAATTGATTGAAGCCAAAGGAGCTCACAAGTACCTTGAGCAATAGCTCGGTATTTAGCTTCAGCAGAAGATCTGGAGACAATAGCTTGCTTCTTTCTCTTCCATGATATGAGATGATTACCATAGAAAGTACAGAAGCCAGAGGTAGACCGTCTATTTGTCTTACATCTAGCATAGTCTGCATCAGTAAAGCATGAGAGTTCGGACTGATTTCCTGAGGCATGGAACAAACCAAGGCTAGGGCACGACTTAAGATACCTTAAAATATGGTAGACTGCATTCATATGAGTTGAGCGAGGGGCATGCATAACTTGACCAACTACACTGACAACAAAGGTCAAATCGGGCCTTGTGTTAGTTAAGTAGATAAGACGACCTACCAAATGTTGATACACGGATGGATCTGGAAGTAATTCCCCTGACTCAACATAGTTTGAGATTAGGGTCCACAGGAGTGGAAGCAGGTCGACACCCAAGCATGCCAGTATCTTGAAGAAGATCCAAAACATATTTCCTTTGAGATAAGGAAATTCCACGATGGGATCTAGCAACCTCAATTCCAAGAAAATATCGAAGTGGACTTAAGTCCTTCACATCAAAGGACTTTTGAAGATGAAGTTTCGCTTGAGCAATCTCTGAAGCATCATTGCCTGTGATAATGATATCGTTCACATATACTAATAACATGATATAGTAACCATCATAGCGACGTCGAATAAAGCAAGTATGGTCTGAGTGGCAACACACAAAGCCCATGGATAGAACAACATCACTGAAATGACTGAACCATGCTCTAGGAGATTGCTTCAGACCATAAAGAGACTTCCGCAACCGATATACTTCCTAGCATACTCCCCCTCAGCCCGAAATCCAGGTGGTGGATCTATATATATAGTCTTAAGTAAGTTTCCATTAAGAAATGCATTCTTGACATCTAACTGATGCAGAGGCCAAGAATGGGCAGCAACCAAGGAGATAAGCAGTCGCACAGATGTCAACTTTACCACAGGAGCAAAGTTAGCACCAAAGTCTTTGCTCGGAATCTGAGTGAAGCCTTTCGCCACCAATCGAGCCTTATACCGATCAATAGAACCATCAGCTAAGTACTTCACATTAAAGACCCATTTGCAGCCAAACGTTTTCTCCCCAGCAGGCAAAACAACAAGTTCCCATGTATTATCACGCTTTAAAGCGTCCATTTATGCTGTCATAGCAGACATCTAATTGGGATCTTAGAAGGCCTCTGACACTGATCACGGAATAGAAACGAACCCAATCTTTCCTAGGAAAGATATATATGCACCTGAAAGACCATTATAGAAGACATACTGGGGAATAGGGTGATTAGTGCTACTAGAGAAACCATACCAATTAGGAGGGTGACGAACACGAGTAGGATAACGGGATGTTTGCTTGTGAATGGTAGGAGCCACGGGAGAAGGAGAGTTACCTGGACCTAATTCGAAAGATGATTCTGGCAGGGGAGGTTGAGTGCGATGGCGATAAGAGTAGACTTGCAAAGGCGGAGGAGAACCCACATGGGTAGAGAAGGAGATTCCAGGACAGCGTGATCTTAAAATATAGGAACAGGACGATCAATAGGAGAGATCTCCTTCTCCAGACCACAAGAGAGAGAATCTTGTACTACAGAATTAGTACTATAAAAAGGAATAGTTTTATGAAACAGGATCATATGTTTGGCAATAGGATTATAACAACGACAGCCCTTTGACATAGCAGAATGCCCTAAGAAAATACACTTAATAGATTTATCATCAAGTTTATGATGAGAAGGACTACGGTTATGAACAAAACAAGTACAGCCGAAAACATAAGGCAGAAGGTGAAACAAGGTATAATCAGGTTGGAGAATTTGAAGTGGGACCTTACCACCTAAAACTTGACTAGGAGTACGATTAATCAGAAAAGTAGCTGTAAGAACAGCCATATGACAATAGAATTTAGGCACATGCATACCATTCAAAAGACATCGGATGTAATGACCTGATCATTTTCCTTCTTTTTATTTTTCAAAAATTTCATTTTTCGTCTTTTTCCTAATTTCGTCCTTTAGTCGTTTTTTATTTTTCTTTACATAACCTTACTTTTTGCACTCCGATTTGATTCCAGGTTTGCATATATTCATGATATTTAAATTCTATGATATCTACATTTTCACTTTTGTAGAAAAGCATGTTAAATGTTTACTTTTCTGGTAAAGGGCATGAATGCATAACTTTTGGTAATTACTCTAAACTTGAGGGATTTTTGTGTAATTAAATAAAGTAATTATTTTTCCTTTTAGGGACCATTTTGCAATTTAATTTGGAAGATATTTTCAAAAAGGACCTTTTTGCAATTTTTGAAAAATGTGACAAGTTTCACATTCCTAAGGTGTCACTTGTTAACATTGTGGAGGAACCACTTGGAGACTTAATCTTATGGCACATTGAGGGTGGAGATTCACTCATTTGTTGGCCTAGAATAGGAGCACTTGTTGGCATAGATGGTTGACAAGTGTAGGCTCAATATTAAGTCTTGGAAGTTTACATAGGATGGTGACAAGTGTAGGCTTCACAATTGGTCTTGCATTAATGTGTGTGAGAGGTAGTGCAAGAGCACCTAGTGAGTGGAGAATCCCACCATTTTAACTTAGGGTTTTCACTTATAATTTATTTATCTCTTTCCTCTCAAGAACCCTAACTTAGCCTCCATTGAAGGAAAAACTTGACCAATAGCTTTAACTTCATTTTTGGCCTCCTTCCACCCACCTTAGACCATAAAGGTTGGAATACAAAAGCTTTATCTCACCTTCCCCTTCATAATCCTAGAAGGAAAACTTGGAATTCCTTTGCTTTCCTTGGAATCAAGAGGGACAATCCTCTTGTGAGGTAGGAGTGGTTATATGTTTATCCTCTTTGGGTTTTATATATATTGGAGCTTGATATATATTGATTACATGCTTTTTAAATTCTTGTAATTACATATAGATAGAGATTTTATATGTTTGACTTAGGATTTGTGGATTAAAGCATGTATATGACTATTAAATTGTATAGGTAGGTTATTGTTGAATGATTTGCTTAATACTTGTGATTTCATTGAGGGTTTATTATGAATATCTTGATATTGCACTTATGTTGTTAAATAAATGGAGATTTCATTGAAAGTCTAGTATGAAAATATTGTATCTAGCACTTATAATTACTTGTAGGTAAATTATTATATTGCATGATTAGTAATTGTGGCCTACATTAATATTAGATTCATATGACATAATGTGTAGTAGCATTAGCTTGCCATTTTAGACATGCAACCTTAGGGCATGGTTTGTGTGGTCTTACCCTACTTGTGCTTGGTAGGTAGTTTCATGCATTGAGATTATAAAAATGTCATGAACTTGTTGATTTTTGGAAGCTTGTAAGGATATAAAATGTTGATGGCTAGGGCTTGGTTGTAGTATGGAGGGTAAGAATTCTCCTAAGTCATAGTACGCACTAGGTAGTACCTTGTGGGTCGTAATTACCCAAAATAACTTGTATGGTCTCGTGGCCACATATCCTAGTCTTTCCATTATTTGATTTTGCATTACCTTCCAAGTTGTAAATCATGGATTTCTTGTAGCTTGTGATTTGGTAATCTTAGTTCTAATGTGGTTAGTGTACTTGTCTTGTATAATTGGATGTTACATGTTTATCGTTTCAAACATTTGTATAGCTTGAGATGATCCCTTAGAGTACCATGGAAACATAGACGTTAGGTAGAATGCGCCCTTGTAATGGTCTATGTTTGGTTTACATTATACTTGAAACTATAGGGTATGTGCATGCACCACATCTTACGAGTAACTTGATTACTCACCCTAGTTGTTTGGGTTGTTTTGCAGGTAAAGAGACTTTGTTTTGAGATGCATCACATCCCTAAGTTGCTTTGATGCCTTAAAGTAATTGTTATATTTTTGAAAACATGCAAGTGTTAGTATGTAGTATCATTTGGTGAAAAACACTATTTTTGCCTTGAAATATGTAATGTGTACCTAAATGCACTTTTTGATACTTGTTTTGTATGTATAACATGAAGTTAAGGGCTATTAACTTGATGTTCACAAGCATGTTCTAAAATTTCAAGTGTTGTAAATATAACCTATTGTGAAAATTAGAGGTTTGAAATGTCAAAAATTGTAATTGAGTTGTTATGAGGCCGTAAGACATTGTAGTACGTCTACATCATTTTACGTTTGCGTGCATGCTCATATCTCACAAAACTCTTAAGTTTTGACTTTTGAACTAATTATGGATAAATCATAGATTTTTATAAAAGAGTTCATGCATTGGAGTAAGTTTTAAGTCCCATTTTATTTTTGCATGTTATGGATACTCTTTTGAGATTAGGGAATGTTCTTAAGCGTTTTCGGATCATGTGGGA